CTGTCCCTGGGATCTTTTGAGTGTATATTAACAACCATCTACACAAGTGGGGCTTTGACTGCTGTGGTCCCCCTGCTTTCCCTGTAGCAGGTTAGGATGTTATGTCTTGTGTTGTGTCAGGGTTGATGGTAGCTCAACTGAGAGAGGTTAGGTTATGTATTTATATAAGATGATTTGGTAGGGATGATCCTGCCTCAGGCAGGGTGTTGGTCTAGATCGGCAGGTCCCAAACTGACAGATTGCACACCACCAATTTAAAATGATACAACCTTAAGCACCACTAGCAATTTTTTGTCATATAAAGTAATTATAATAAATCTGTTAACATGTATCACTGACAGGTTTTCTGTGTACCACTGGTGGCACACATACCACAGAGTGGGAACCCAGGATTAGATGACTTGTAGAGGTCCCTTCCAGCCCTACTTATCTACGATTCTGTGAAGCAGAGAGAAATGATGCAACTTGCCCCAGGGTCACCCAGAAGGTGTGGGTCAAAGCCAGGAATAGACCTTAAGTTTCCTGATTGCTGTTCAGTGTTTTCTGTGCTAAGTCACATGATTCCTAAGTGCCCCCCTTTCCTCCTATCAGCTTTCTTAAAGTGAAATTGGGATATTGGTCATGCTAGAAGTGTTTGGAATGTGTACTTTCTGACCAAGCTCATGGAAAAAGCTAGGCCTGGTTTGTGTCCTAGAACTTGGAAGTTTATTTCATGTTCATTCTAGTAATTTTAAATGTGTGTGCTAGAGCTCTCTGTTTCTCTCTCTGTCTCTCTATCCTGTTAGCATTGTGAAAGCCTGTTAGCATCCACATGACAACAGAGAGCACACAAACTGTTGCTTTCTGCTGTCATGTAGATGTCGCAGGCAAAAGCTGAAAGTGTGAGCACTTTGTTGATTTATGAGTTCAAGCCTTATACCACATGAGGCCTTTATACCCCTTGCACTTTCCATTCTGGCCAGCCCTCCCAGCATATGCAGGGAGGACAGTGTTTACTCTGTACTTTTTACTTTTCTAATTTTTCAAGATTTTACACTTTTTATTTTTAATTCTGGACCCCTGCTTGTGGGCCTCCTATGCATCCAGAAAGGTGGACTCCCTCCTTGACCCTGGCTTACAATGGGAAACACCCCCCATACACCCTAACAGTGGGAAATCATAGCAACATACCAGCAAATCATTCTGAGATTTCTGCCTGGAAGGAGTCAACAGCTAGCATGGTCTTCCTGTAGCTTAACATGTCCCTTTGACCCACCTAAGTCATGTTTATTTGATTTTTATGCCACTCTCCCCAGAAAGGCTCAGCGCAAGTCAATAAAAATAGATACAATTATAGAACAGTACCCCAAAGACCCAACCTCTGCTGCTAAAAGCCTGCCGGAATAGAAAGGTCTTGCATCACTTCCAAAAGCCAGCTTCAGGCTCTGGCATACCTCACGTGCAAAGGAGTTCCAGAGTTGAGGAGCAACAACTGCAAACAACCTCCTAGGTGTTTGGCTACAAATCCTTTGGCTTATCTTTCAAAATGTAGAATGTCAGTCATTTGACATGTACCTATCCGGAGAGACTACTTTTATATTTTTTAATGGCGGGATTAAAAAAAAATTTCCCCAAAAGGGAAAAATAATTTTCCCAGTTATTAAAAATAATTTTCCCCAAAAGGGAAAAATAATTTTCCCAGTGGGCTTCATGCATTATTTGGGATAAACGGTGAGTGACTCAGATTTGGAGATTTACAGATCTGGAGTTTGATCCCCAGGTTTCTGAAGAAAAAGTTGGTGGAATCCGTCAATTTTAAGGAATATTGTTTGGGGATGTGGGATTGTATTGCTGTGTTACTAGGAACCCCTTGCTTACATGGCAGCCTTACTTTGCATCCCATGAGCTATCAGAAAAATAAATGCAAATAATCATGTAGATCTTGGGAGTGTTTTAACTCAGAAAGGGCTCCCCAGCCTTAATTGTAGCTGATCCGGCACATGACACTCCTCTCCTAATATGTTACTACTTTAATTTTATGTAGCATTATGACAGCACTTTTCACTGCAATCCTTTCTTGTACTGAAGAAATACATCTTTCAAAACCGTGCCTACTTCAACTGTTTTATTCTGCATAGTGACAAACTGTCCATTCCTATTTTGGAAGATTATAATGTGTTTCTACAGAAGTATATGTGGGCCTTGATCAAGCCAAGCACTTACGTACATCCTCAGTTTGAAGTCAGTACAACTATGTGATTAAAATTCAGCAAGAACTGTTATGAATCAAAATCTTTTAAAACTTGTTGTCCACATCTACAGTGTTTTCATTTTGAAAAACTGTCATTTCTATAGGACTTGTAGATTGTGCTATATGAGGTTTCCCCACAAATTGTAAAATTAAATTGCTGTCTGGAGCATCAGTAGACTGGATTTTAAGATGGGGTACATTTTTTTGCGTTGGATTGTATACCCCTAAGGGAAACACTGATAGAATCTTAATTCACTGGTACTAGCAGGAGCTGTAATAATGTTCATCACAAGTAGGGAATTAGGCTGCTAATTGTTTCTGTATCCTAAAGAGAGGGTTTTTTTTAGCACTGATGGGAAAATTACAGCCTTCTGAGACAGCTTTCACATCTTTACAGCTTTTGAATAAATTGTTGGAGAATTGACTGATTAAATGTAATCTATTAATTACTGGTTTGTTAATAGTAGATTATCAAATATTTCAAAGAACTGTATCTAATTATACATTCCTAAAGTAGAACAGAATAGGCATAGCACTGGGTGATCACATTTTAATGAAATGTAGTCATGGGAATTGTCTGTTTTCAAAGCTGTAATTACTATATGTAAATGCTTTAAATGATGTTGATCTATTAGTTACTGTGACTTATTTTTCAGGATAATTCTGGTAATGTTTTTCTTTTGACATAGCCATATTAGTTGAGTTAAATTATCAGGCACTTCTTCCTGATGCTATACATTTTTTTTTTTTTTTTTAACCCATCTCTCTCAGTTCTCCCCAACACACCAGAGAGAAGCCATGTTAATGTTCTGTATGCTACATCTTACTGCACGATGTATATAATTTTTTGGGGGGGGGAACTAGATAAGCAAATAATTTAAAAGTTAATGGTACTTAATTTGCATCCTGTTTTCTTAATCCTTTCTTGGTCATGATGTATCTAAAATTATTTGACCAAAACCCCACATGCGAAGGTAAGGTATATAAAGTGCTGACATGAAGTCAAGTTTCCTGGTTTTGGAACGGCAGGCTTTGAAGGAGAACATGAGGATGCAGGATATTGGTGAGAGATGAAGAATGGAGGAGATTATCAGGGTCCTAAGGAGTAGATTGTGATAGGCATTCAAGAATGTGTGTATGAGATATTGCATGAAAAGTATATGTAATCTATAAAGAAAATGCTTTGAAGTTGTCCATGTTGGTAAGATTCAGCTGCTTAGCACTCTCTCCCTCCTTTCCTTTGCACCCTAAACTACTTGCATATGACTCCCATCCCCATGCATACCATCTGAACTACTGACATCTGCAGAATAATCTTGTTTTGGTGATCAGGGAGTCCCTTGCACAGACTTTATACTTAAACTTGTAAGTTTAAGTATAAAGTTTTGGGGGGGGGGTTTTACGTCCCTGCCTGCCACCTGACACCTCCAGGGAAGGAATTCTACCTGATCAATACATCAAAGAGCTACTCAGCACAGCTCACAAAGACACTCATGGACCCAGAGGGACGGCCTTCCATCTTCAGCTCCCTCTGTGCAAAAATGAAGTTTATTTCCTACCTATGGGGACTTTTTACTGTCTTGTACCATCTACACTTTTCCCAGAGCCTGACAAAGGGACTTTGATCCTGAAAGCTTGCAGAAAATACAGTTTTCTTACCTTCTATCAGACCACCTGGAAAATGACATCATTTTGGAGCCAAGAGTTCTAGTTTTTTGTATATACTTAAATTTATGGCACTCATTTAAAAAAAAAAACTGACAGGAGAATTCACAAATAGGGTTTCAAGAGTGTCATCAAGGTAGTTAGGGTAGTTAGGTGTTCATAATCAAAGCCTGCAGCTGACAGTGGTTGGGATTTTTTTTCTTTTTCAATGCTGTGTTGTATAAGTATATAATGTAGCTATTATGTCCTACATTGTTCATTCAGGTAAATCTGACAGTTGCTATGAGCAGGACCTGTATTGGTGCACTAAAAACCAAGTATGTTTAAATTAAGGTAATATAGTTGAAGCATGTATATACATCCTCTGATTAATGTCTGGTGTAGAGGAGTTTGCCTTGGGCTGTTAGGTGCTGTCAATCACTACAACCTCCAGATAGGCTTTGCATTGAGGTTATGTATTAATAATTAATAGATATGTGAAGTTTTAAAGTTCTTCTGGCTTTCAGGGTTTTATTCTGAATGCAGATTGTTCTCATTTTGTTTCTACATTATATTCCTAACTAGTCTGAATATGTAAATCATTTATTTATATTCCATTTTGCTCATAATGGAAAACAGTGCCTTGAGCAAAGTAACTGATTATTTGTACTCCTACTTCTTTTTTAGAATTTTGAAGTGAAAAAAATTCCTACAGTGAAGGTCTATAATGCTGACAATTTTTCTGTTACTCATCATCATCTGTCAGAACCTTATGTGGATAGAGAAATGGACACAGAGCAGGTGATTGACTTCATATATGGTATGCTGTCCCATATGTCAACACTTGTGTTGCATATAGCATCTCTGGCAGCTCTTAGTAGCGTTTTGTTTTAGTTAGTTTCCTGTTTAAAAAGGGAGTTGGTATAATACAATTCATCTGGTCTTAATTTAAAATGGTGAAGACTTATAAAGGATTTCAATTGTGCCTTATATATCCTACACATACTTAACACTCAGTGGAATTGCTCACTGGCATGAAGTTGCACAGGGTTAACAATCTGAAGAAATTGACCCTGAACAAAATGATCAGTTTCAGTTTCTTAAGATTAATGTTTGAATTTGTTTAAAATATATTCTGGCTGCCTGTGTTGTCTTTGTGTCCTAGGGTTTTTACTTTATCTTTTTTTAGCCCTCAGTTGTCAGATTTCATAATGCTTTTACTATTGCAGTGGTTTTAAAATGTGTTTATTTTCCAGATGAACCTGTAAGTACTTTTGTGTGTTCTATCCCAAACTATTCAAAATGAAATCAAATGTATAGAATTTGCTGTATTACTTATTTAGCAGCATTATACCATTTATACTGAATGAAAAATATCTTGGCAAATGTAACAGTCAAGCTATTGTAAATTATAAGTGATTTTTCCATAGTATTACTTGAAACTAGAACAGTTAGACATTTTAGAATAAAAAAGATGATAGGTGTTGCTGTGCGTGTGCTTGTGTGTGTGTGAAGGTATAAAAATGTGTAGTTTATATAAACAAGGGCTGTAATGATTAGAGGGTATTTATGTATCCACTCATACCTCTTTTTAAAGTAGCTTGGTTGAACACTTCACTACAGAATTATTTACTGTCAGCAATATTTGCAGTCTACCATGGTTTTAAACTGTTATTGATTGACTGCCAGCCAGATGCTCGGTTAGTTGCTGAAGAGGAAGCTAAGCGCTTGAAGGAACTGCAAAAAGAGGAGGAGAGGGGAAGAAGAGAACAGCTTGAAAAAGCACATGTGAGAGGAAGTCATGCCTTGAAGATGGTCCATTTGGCACAAGTAAGCAAAGTAGAAATTGTACACCATAAGTCTTAACTGTCAAAATGACCAGCAGTCAACATAACTAGTAACAGACTGGATGGTAAATAGCACTGACTTCAGGAGAAACATAATAGCTGTTTTCAAAATGCATTCCTTTTAAAAGAAAATTATCCTCATTTTTGTTTGGCCCAGCTATTTGAAAATTGAGGCAATAAGAAACTCTTTACCATCAATAAAAATAAAAGGCATTTGAACATTAAAGGGATGCTGCAGCTAAGTCTACTTTGTGACCTGCCAAATTTTTCAGAACCTATTATAAGATTTTGAGAAACTGATTTAATGAAAAATTCTGGTTAAGCGTGTTATCAGAGTTCCAAATGCTATAATATGCCTAAAGGTGTGGGACCAGATGAATGGCAGTGGGCTGGCCTTGCAGGCTAGATTGGGCCTATAATTCTCCCCCCTCCCCTCACACACGTCTGATCCAGTATCCACTTTGCCTGCTCCAGGACCCACTTTGACTGCGCTGCATGCAGCATGCATCCTAAACTGGTTGGAGTGAGCAGTGTGTGCAGCTTATGACCCACAGTGGGCACCATGGGTGCTGGATCCAGCATGCTGGGGGGAGGGATGGAGAGGTCCCAGGCCGTGTTTGCAAGGCCCATCTGGTGCTTGTTACATATGGCTTGTGGATCAACTCAAAACCTGGGGCTACCACTAGGGCTGGCTGATGTGGATCTTTGGGCCAGGTCTTTGACACTCCTATTGTAAGAGATGTTGAAATCAACTGGATGAGTGCGTAAGAAATGGGATCCTGTTTAAATTGATATCTTTTTTCTGACAAAAAGCAGGTATGTTTGTGCATGCATAATGGGGAAATATCTGAGGCTATTTTTTAAAGAAAAAGTGAGAAAAGCCTGAACCAATTTACCAAAGTTTGTAAGCACTGCTGGCATGAGCCTAAGTCAGGGGTGGGCAAAATGCGGCCTGGGGGCCGGATGCAGCCCGCCAGGCCATTCTGTCTGGCCTGTGGAGCCCCTAAAAAATTTAGTAAACTAACATTTATCTGCCCTGGACTGCCTGTCATGCAGCCCTCGGTGGCTTGCCGAAACTCAGTAAGCGGTCCTCTGCCCAAAATAATTGCCTGCCCCTGGCCTAAGTTCTGTTGCTTCAGAGTGAGTTGACTTGATCATCTTTAGCATCATTTATGTAAAGGTATCTTAATTGAAGACCTACAGTATGAATAAATGGTTTGAAGTGGGCTGCTCAGCAGTTGCCAAACAGTAGATATAATTTATAGTTTCAAGGCCAGTCTTTCATCTCTCCTAGTACCCAAAGAACTGTTTTATTTTTAAGTGATCTTATTTTTAAGATCACTTTATTGTTTCTGTCACGCTGTTCAGGCTAGATTGAAATCAAATATTTAGAACTGGCTTTGTTATTCAGCAGCATTATAACTTATATTGAATAAAAAATTCTTGCTAGAGCCAAACTTTTACAAAAATTAATTGTGTAAATTAGCATCTTGTTTACATTAAATATTCATGAAGGTAGAATTAGATTTAATTAAGGGTAAAATTTTCAGGAGTACTTAACTGAAAGTGAATGCAAGTTTGTGGTCCTAAATTGCTCTAGATACATGCTGAAAAAACTACTTTACATATAAAACACTGTCTTCCTACTGTATTTTTAGCTTCAGTTTCAGACATTCGGTTTTGGTTTGTTCTTGTAAACACTTAACAAACACACCACCAAACACACTATGCCTAATATAAAAAGAAATGCATGACTTTGAAAACTGAATCTAATTCTGACAATGTTTTTCCTTCTCTAGTTCTTGTAACTGATGCCACCCTTAGCAAGATCCAGAACTGAGTGTGAATAACTGGTCTGTTTTAAAATTAAAAATTATGGTCTGGGTATAGTCAACTCTTTCTAACTTTTTTAGAAATGGCAAGGTATATTTTAATTGTTCATGGCATAAATGGGATCAAACTATTAACTGTTAACCTGGCATTCTTCAGAGAGATCATGATTTAAAAGATTTTAATCCCCAAAATATCTCAGAAAAAGATAATTATATTTACCCTACATATGGGAATAAATGTGTGGTAACAGCTGCCTTTTTAATAGTAACATTCTAACCTTTAGCTCCAAAAGCATAAATGAAAGATTTTACTTCAGTGGCCAGCAAAATGAGTTTCAATCTAGCCTATTCCCATTTTAGCACAGCTAAGACTAGTAAGACTAGCAGAGATGCTTGGTCTAGAGACCCATTGATATAATGGAAAGTGGCTAGCTTAGCATTCCCTTTTGAAGTCCCATTGCTTTTTTTAAATAAATGTATCCCTTGGTAGAAGATAATCTGATCTTTAGATCTTTAGGGTATGTTGCAGAATGGGTTTTGTGTTTTGTTTTGTTTGGCTGGGGTTTTTTGCCCAAGGCATTTGGAAATAGAGGGAACTGCAGGAATGGCAAAGATGCCCAAGCTAGATCCAGGTACTGAAAACGGAATAACCATAGTAGAGTGGTATTTCATAGTTTCTAGGGTCGGAAGGGACCTGGGCAGATCATCTAGTCCGACCCCCTGCCATGGCAGGAAAGAGTACTGGGGGCAAACGACCCCAGCAAGATGGTCATCTAACCTCCTCTTAAAACCCCCCAGGGTGGGAGCCTGCACCACCTCACTTGGAAGCTGGTTCCAGACCCTAGCCGCCCTGACTGTGAAGTAGCGCCTCCTGATGTCCAACTTAAACCTTCCCTCCGCCAGCTTGTGACCGTTATTCCTGGTCACTCCTGGCGGTGCTCGGGGGAGCAGGGACTCCCCCAGTGCCTGTTGATCCCCCCTGACTAGTTTATAGCAGGCCACAAGATTCCCCCCTCAGCCTTCTCTTCTGGAGGCTGAACAGGTTCAGGTCCCGTAACCTTTCCTCATAGGACCTGCCCTGCTGTCCCTTGATCATGTGAGTGGCCCTCCTCTGGAACCTCTCGATGCTGTCCACATCCCTCTTAAAGTGCGGCTCCCAGAACTGGACGCAGTACTCCAGCTGCGGCCTGACCAGTGCCGCATAGAGGGGGAGGATCACCTCCTTGGTCCTGCTTGAAATGCATCTGTGGATGCACGACAAGGTACAGTTGGCCTTCCTAGCCGCCTCCCCACACTGCCG